CCTGTTTATGCTCTCTGTATGTGTGTATATATATCTCCTCAATATATGTTCCATTCTATATGCATCCGAAGAAGTGGGCTATAGTCCACGAAAGCTTATGCTCTAATAAATTTGTTAGTCTCTAAGGTGCCACAAGTCCTCCTGTTCTTCTTTTTGCGGATACAGACTAACATGGCTGCTACTCTGAAACCTTTGCACTGGATAGCACACAATCATTTTATAAAGATGAACATGGGGGTGCAGGATGTTCCCCCGAGGTACAGAGCATCACAAATGTATTTAAGTAATTTAACAGAGAAACTGCATTTACCTCATCCTGAAATCTGATTATGGCTAATGCACACCTATAGCACTATGCAAGTAATAGCAAAACTATTAAATTCAGTAACATTTAAGACCAAAATCTTGCACACTCGTTTTTTTAATAAGCCACTCCAAATAAAGGACCCCAGTTCAGCAAACCACGCCTAACCAGCAAACCACTTAAGTCCCATTGACTTTTATAGCACTTTAATTAAGCATGTGCTTAAGCTGAACTAGGGCCAGTGCTCCTCACCTTTGAGCACAACTGCAGCTTCAAAAGACAGTGACCCCTTCAACATCTCATGAGAGTTATAGGAATTAAAGAAAATTCTCTAAATCGTTAGGACATTTAAACTCCTATGCGGTCTGAAATGCAATAATAATGGTCAACTAAGAGACTTCATAAAATATGAACCATTTTTCAGTCATTCAATTCAATAAGGCTTCACTGGCATGACACGCTATACACCTGTTACCAAAGTTGTCAAGGGCTGGGGTTACACACTGGGTTTGAGGTTTGATCCTGTGTCCATTTGTCAGCAGCATCCATTCCTGATCCAGTGGCAAGCTGCTGCATAGTGTGATGCCATCTTTGCCATATCTCTCCTTCCTCTCAGTGTGGCAGTTTCTCCTCATCACTTTTGATAAAAAAATCTTTACATTTGCCTTAGTTTCGCACTTTATTGTAGCAAGGTAGTCTGCTAGTATGAAAGCTCTATGTAGGGATCTGTAGCATTCTAGCTGGATGATGTTTTGATTTGTTCTTTTCAATGTCAGGTATATTGGTGTTTTAGGCACTGATCCAAATATTGAAGAATTCAGTTCATAAAGAAAAAATAACGAGAAGTTCTTGTGGCACCTTAGAGACTAACAAATTTATTTGGGCATAAGCTTTTGTGGGCTAAAACCCACTTCATCAGATGCATGGAGTGAAAAATACAATAAGCAGTATATATATTACAGCACATGAAAAGATGGGAGTTGCCTTACCAAGTGGGGGGTCAGTGCTAACAAGAAGGGGTGAATATCAACAGAAGGGACATTACTTTTTGTAGTACTAATGAGGCCAATTCAATCAAGGTGGACGTCGCCCATTCCCAACAGTTGACAACAATGTGTGAGTATCAACAGAGGGAAAATTACTTTTTGTAATGACCGAGCCACTCCCAGTCTTTATTCAGGTCTAATTTGATGGTGTTCAGTTTGCAAAATAATTCCAGTTCTGCAGTCTCTCTTGAAGTCTGTTTTTTAAAAGTTTTTTTGTTGAAGAATTGCCACTTTTAAGTCTGTTATTGAGTGTCCAGGGAGACTGAAGTGCTCTCCTACTGGTTTTTGAATATTACAATTCTTGATGTCTGATTTATGTCCATTTATTCTTTGTGTAGAGACTGTCCGGTTTGGCTAATGTACATGGCAGAGGGACACTGCTGGCACATGATGGCATATATCACATTGGTAGATGTGCAGGTGAATGAGCCCCTGATGGTGTGGCTGATGTGGTTAGGTCCTATGATGGTGTCCCTTCAATAGATATGCAGACAGAGTTGGCAACTGGGTTTGTTGCAGGGATTGGTTCCTGGGTTAATGTTTTTGTTGTGTGGTCTATAGTTACTGGTGAGTATTTGCTTCAGGTAGGGGCTGTCTGTAAGCGAGGACTGGCCTTTCTCCCAAGATCTGTGAGAGTGAGGGATCGTCCTTCAGGATAGGTTGTAGATCCTTGATGATGCGCTGGAGAGCTTTTAGTTGGGGGCTGTGGGTGACAGCTAGTGGTGTTCTGTTACTTTCTTTGTTGGGCCTATCCTGTAGTAGGTGACTTCTGGGTACCCTTCTGGCTCTGTCAATTTGTTCCTTCACTTCACCACTTCTTGTCAACTGTTGAGAATAGGCCACTTCCACCTTGATTGAATTGGCCTCATTAGCATTGACCCCACCAACAACAACTTGGTAAGGCAACTACCATCTATTCATGTGCTGTAATATATATACTGCTTACTGTATTTTTCACTCCATGCATCTGATGATGCATCTGATGAAGTGGGTTTTAGCCCATGAAAGCTTATGCCCAAATAAATTTGTCAGTCTCTAAGGTGCCACAAGGACTCCTTGTTGTTTTTGCTGATACAGACTAACACAGCTACCACTTTGAAAACAGTTCATAGAGAATTAGTTAACCAAACAGTAATTTGATTTGCTGCACATGGTAGTGATCTTGCCAGGTCTCATTTATAATGTAATTCTGTTTTAGCACAACGGCCATACACTTCTGCTCCAGAAACTAAACTTTTACTTTAAAAAAAAAAAGTCTGTAGGCCTTACGGCTACGAATATAATCCTTAGAACAGTGGCTCTGAAACTTTTGTACTGGTGACCCCTTTCACATGGCAAGCCTCTGAGTGCGACTCTCCCCCCCCCCCTATAAATTAAAAACACCTTTTTATATATTTAACACCATTATAAATTCTGGAGACAAAGCGGGATTTGGGGTGGAGGCTGACAGCTCGCGATCCCCCATGTAATAACCTCGTGACCCAGAGGGGTCCCAACCCCCAGTTTGAGAACCCCTGCTTAGAATATGTTATTTACTTTTATTGTTCCTGCAGTTCATGTCTGACTGTAAATTTTATGGGCACAAGTTTTGCATTTGGTGCCAAGAAAACCTGGGGTGGGGTAGAAGGGAGGGACATGGGACAACACTTCCCAACAACTATTCATGCATCACATAACTATTTTCACCATTTTCTCAAAATAGCCCGTGCAGAAATATGATCATGTACCTTCTTTGAAATCACCAGTTCTCTAATTGGAAGAAACAAAAACTAACATAATGGGAGAAACTAACAAAAAATACAGAAATCCCCACAACTTATCTTCTCTGTTGCAACATTATATCAGCACTCTCTGTAAATAAAAGAGGGCAAAGAACAGATGAAGCCCAGGAGTATAGCTAAGCAATGTAAGTGTACATCTGACTCCAACATGACACACAACTTCACCTAAGGCTGAATGTGACAGGTCACTAAAGTCTGGATTGTTTATTTGGAGCTATGTGTGGTATATTGCACTCAGTTTTTCTTGCTAGGGTATGGATAAAGCCTAAGTGCCACACCTAAATGAACTTTACATGCAAACATACCACAGGCCTGACCCTGCACGGCTTTTACACCTTAAATTCCCACTGATTTTGATGTGGGTGCACAAGAAATCAGCCCTCTTGATTTATTATCAGTCCAGCCAGGGCCAGTGTAACCACTAAGCGAACTAGGCAGCCGCTTAGGGCGCCAACATTTGGGGGCACCAAAAAGCCGTGTCCGGCGTCACGGGAGTCAGCTGAGCAGGGCAGGGGGTGAGGCCTCCATAAAAACCCGCCCCCCAGGGCGGGGTGCCGCACAGGACAGTCAGTGGGAGCCTGCGGCGGAGCAAGGAGGAGACAGCCAGCCGGGCGAAGCGACCAATGCGGCCGAGGGACAGAGCCTGGGAACGTTCAGAGACCCTGCATGCTGGGGGCATTCTCAGACTCCTCCTTGCTCATAGGTTACCCCGGGCCAGAAGGGACCGCTGTGATCATCTCCTCTGACCCCTTGTATTAATTCTAATAAACAATGCCACATTATGCAGTATTCATTGTTGAAAGTTTATAATAAGCGATGCTCCGGGGCGGTGGGGGGGGGCGGCGCAAGGTGGAAGTTTCGCCTAGGGCGCAAAATATCCTTGCACCGGCCTCAAGTCCAGCACATTCTTGCATATAATGCATGTGTCTGCATGTCACAGAAATACTTCACTTAGAAATTACAGGCCTAAGACTGCACAGATCACTGGGTACATTCAATGCTCAAAACTGTGCCAAGTTTCAAACTTGGATTTAGATCCTGCTTCACACCAGCACATGGAACCTTTAGACAAGGCACTCAGCTAATAAACTATTAACTGGTTTTATCACTGAAACTGAAATAGGGGACCTATGTTCGTGTCACTCATGTGGAGTATAGTGTTTGTTACTTACGTTGCATTTCACATATAACTTTTAAGACCCACAGAAAACCTCTGGCTCTAAAAATGCAGTGTGCTGGGCTCAGGACAGTAACACGGGGCTCTCCAAAGGCTGCCCCCAAAAAGCAGAAACTCGGGACCTGCAGATGGGATCTCGGTCACTGTAGCTGTAGGGGGCGGGCGGAGTACAATAGATAACCTGGTCTCAGGAACGCAGCCTAAGGCGGCGCCCGAGCGATCGCCTTTCTACTCACTCTCCCCTCTCGGAGCAGCACTTACCCAAAGTGCCGGGAGGGGGGGGGGTGAGTATTTACGCCTCTCTCCCCCCATCGCACAAAGCCTGCAGGAAAAACCACCCCTCCGGGCTCTTCCAAACGCTGTGCAGCGACTGCCTCCTTCCCCGCCCCTTACCTTCGTCTCCTGCCGCGGGCGCACGCCGCCCAGAGGAGCAGAGCCGTGACGATGGCTAGGCCGTAGGTGCAGAGCTGCAGCAGCTCCCAGGGGCCCATGCTAAGGGAGCGGGCGCGTTTCCTTCCCCCCGCCGCCGCCGCTGCAAAGGCTGCTTCGCCTTGGAGGGGAAAGTTTGTGTCTGCTGTTACCAATCCCTGTCTGCAGCTCCCGTTCCGATCCTCCCCCGGCCAGGGGCTGGGTTTGGCTTCGGCGTCTCGCCGCTGAACTTTGCCTACCCACTGTGCGAGCCGCCCTCCCGCCGGGATTGTCCCGGCTGCTGCCCGGAGGAGAGGCGGGCAGGCAGCCAGACCTGTAGGAGGGCATGCGCCCGCCCCCTCCCCCAGGCGCAGTTCTTTGCTTTCTTCATGCCGGGGGTGGGGGAAGTGGCCCCTCACATCGGGGAAATAGATGAAAAGTACGTCGCTGCCCTAGAAACTCCCAAGGAATGAGTCAGTGAGGCAGGGAATGTACCTTCTAGTAATGATCCACCCATCCAAGAATGACCCACAAAAGTAGTGCCCCTTTAACTACACTGTATTTTGAAAGTAGTGTAACCCCTTCCCCAGTTACATGGATCTAAAGGTGCTTAAATGGTATAGAGTATCAGAGGGGTAGCCGTGTTAGTCTGAAACTGTAAAAAGCAACAGAGGATCCTGTGGCACCTTTAAGACTAACAGAAGTATTGGGAGCATAAGCTTTCGTGGGTAAGAACCTCACTTCTTCAGATGCAAGTGAAGTGAGATTCTTATCCATGAAAGCTTATGCTCCCAATACTTCTGTTAGTCTTAAAGGTGCCACAGGACCCTCTGTTGCTTTAAACTGGTATAGTTCATTCCCATAAAATAGGCTATATCAGGCAGGAGTGCTGGAACAATTTGTATAGTGGAGGTGCTGAGAGCCATTGAACTAAACTGTAAACCCTGTATATAATGGAAACTACTTCAAGCCAGGGGGTGTGGCAGCACCCCTGCAGCCTTAGTTCCCGCACCTATGCTACCAGGATATCTGTCATAGTATCTAAGCACCTCCTGATCTTTAATGTAGCTATCCTCACAGCAGTTCTTTATACCACCAGAACTGCATCCACAGTAGGGGACTGTAATGCTGGTAAAAAGTAAACCCCACACCTTTCATGGAAATATGAGTCAGCAGTGTGCCCTTGTTGCCAAGAAGGCTGTATTAGTAGGAGCATTGCCAGCAGATTGAGCGAAGTGATTATTCCCCTCTCTTCAGCACTGGTGAGGCCACACCTGGAGTATTGCGTCCAGTTTTGGTCCCCCCACTACAGAAGGGATGTGGACAAATTGAAGAGAATCCAGCGAAGGGCAATGGAAATGACTAGGGGGCTGTGGCACATGACTTACGAGGAGAGGCTGAGGGAACTGGGGTTATTTAGGCTGCAGAAGAGAAGAGTGAGGGGGGATTTGATAGCAGCCTTCAATTACCTCAAGGGGGGTTCCAAAGAGGATGGAGCTCGGCTGTTCTCACAGGTGGCAGATAACAGAACAAGAAGTAAAGGTCTCAAGTTGCAGTGGGGGAGGTCTAGGTTAGATATTAGGAAACACTATTTCACCAGAGGGCGGTGAAGCACCAGAATAGGTTACCTAGGGAGGTGGTGGAATCTCCATCCTTAGAGGTTTTTAAGGCACGGCTTGACAAAGCCTTGGCTGGGATGATTTAGTTGGTGTTGGTCCTGCTTTGAGCAGGGGATTGGACTAGATGACTTCCTGAGGTCTCTTCCAACACTAATATTCTATGATTCTATGAAATATTGGATACAAAAACTGTGTGTAAACTTAGGCCTTGGCTACACTGGTGCTTTACAGCGCTGCAACTTTCTCGCTCAGGGGTGTGAAAAAACACACCCCTGAGCGCAGCAAGTTGCAGCGCTGTAAAGCACCAGTGTAAACAGTGCCCCAATGCTGTGAGTGCTCTCCCAGCGCTGGCACGTGATCACACACTTCAAAGCGCTCCCGGGGCAGCACTTTGAAGTTTCGAGTGTAGCCACGGCCCAAGCCTAAGCTGCCAAGAATCACAGTATTTTAGCACTTCCTTCAGGTGCTTTATTCTGTGTGGTTTAAGTGGTGTGTGAATTTACAGAGCTTCAAGGTTTCTGGTAACAATGTAATCAGAAGCTGCATCTCCTTTTGGTGGGGTGAGATGAAAGGTCCAGAGCTCTAACTGGTGCTGCTCCCAGACTGGCCAGATAGAACCAGTGCGATAAATAGTGCTCCCTTCACGCCAATCTTAGAGCTGTTTTAGGAGACCAATTTAGGAAGTGGAAAATTTTGGGAGGTCTACTTGTTCATATTTTGAAAATCAGACATATTTCCTTGTGCAAATATTGGGGAGTGACTGATCTCATCACACTGTCATGCTTATGGGTCCGGACTAAGACAACAAGCAGGATCATTCAACTTTCTAAAGGCCTCGTGGGGAAACGCTATCAAACAAAGGCCAGATACCCTTATTCACCCTAAGGGCTTCTCTTCCCTGCGTTTATTACCTCAGGGTAAGTAACGCATGTGAGCTATCCCAAGATAAAAACACAATGAAGATAAGGCACTTTAGTTTTATCATGAGGTAAACTCACTGAGGTCCCAGGCAGAGATAAGGGCTGACCTCAGCAAGTTTACCTCATGGTAAAACACTGGATACAACTTGGGGCTGGTCTTCACTGTGTTTTTACCTGAGGATAGCTCACCTACATTAGTTACCCTCAGGTAAAAAATTCAGATCTTTTTCAGTGTTGCCATTTCTTGTGATTTTATCACGAGGTTCATAATATTTGATGTCTTATTTATACCCGAGTTCAAGGAAACAAGGGATTATATGAGAACCTCAGCTTTCATTTTTTTAAAAAGTAAGATTCTAGCCTTCCTGGTTATAGGAGAAGGCTTGCAGATGTGACCCAAATGCACCATAAATACCCAAAGTCCAGAAGGCAAATAAAAAGAACCTAGAATGTATTTATTTATTTATTTAACTCATGATTTTTAAGCCAATCTCTTGATACTGGGAGACCTGACCCATGATTTTAGAATGTTTAGGCTTGCATTACCATGTAGCTTGCTCTTCAGTTCCAATTGATTTCAATGGACTGTTCAAGGAAGTACTAAGGTACTACTCAATGCAAATAAGGGGCTCAGAATCTGGCCCATAATGCCTATAACAGTGAGTAGTCCCACTGAAGTCAAGGGACAGACAGAGTTACTATGTAGTGCAAGGATCAGGCCTTTCTTGCTGAAAAAGAAACTGACATTTTCCTGGCATCTTGAGAATCAGAATTTAAACTTCCTGTCTAGGGCTTCTTTTTAAAAAAAATCACCATTTTGGAAATCCCAAGGGATTTCCAAGAATCATTAGCTCATTGTGTCTTTGAGCTAATCCATTGTGAATGCAGCAAATTAAAACTGAAAACCACTGCACTGCAAGACATTATTACAGACTGTTAAATACTTTCCATTCCACAATGACCTCTGTTGCGAAAATCCAGTATTTTACAACTTCCTTACTGGGAGAATTCATAATCTGCATACAATTTTTAATAGCCTATAAAAGCTAAAATAATAAGCGATTTGAAATACTAAACATGGAACAGATGACTGGATATGGGAGAGGGATAAAGAGGGATACAACAGTGTTTTGTAATTATTAACACTATTAACATTGTTCATATCTACTGGCCAGAATAAAACACAGGTGAGGTCACATTTTTGCAGTAGTAAGGGCCTGATCCTGCTAGGTGCTAAGCACCATCAAATCTTGTTGGACAAGAGTGCTCAGAATTTTGCAGGATATCAGACCTTACAAAATGCCTAACACCACAGATTCTTTCAACTCTAAGGCACTGGTTATATCATTACTATCTAATTGCTGGTTGTTGGTCTATATGCAAAATGAGCCATCTCAGTCCAATTCACATGGGACAGAAGTTTCACATAAAACACACCATTACAATTACTCATGTAGCACCACAAATGTATATATTGGCATCCTAGCTGGGTAGGTAGAGAGGTCAAGAACTGAATTGGCAGGAAGACTTAACAACCCTCTGATACCTAAAGTGGGGCCCTCCAGGTCAGAGTTGCCCGATAACACTGAAGCAGCTGCAGTGGGGAGGCTGACATGAAACCCTGCACTCTGGTCCTGGGTTTTAAAATGGTTTTCACCTCCCCAGCTTTCCCCCTCCCCTTCTCCTTCATAAAGCCTGATTACTTGATGCTTTTTCAGAAGAAATGGCTTTCCCCATCAGTAAGTATAATTTTAGATTACCATGTTTCTTTCATTGTCAGATTTGGCCAGCAGGATTTGACCTTACTCTAAAAAAAAATTATTTTGAGACTTGAAACCTCTTTTTTTTTTGGTGCAAGGTTTCATGAGGCTATTATAGAGCTCCTGATTAATCGTGATCATGAATAGGAGACACGTGTGCCTATTATAGTATTTATTAAAATTAACAATACATTTCCAGTTGGATGCAGTAGTGTCCACTTTTCCTAAATTATTGTGTGGTGCTGCTGTATGCTGTGAAATACCAGCAGGATTTGGTCTTAAGTAAATAGCAAAACACCACTGAATTGAAAACAGATCCCTAGAAAGCTGGTAGAGGTGATGGATGAAGAGATAGCCGCGTATATGCACTTTATAAAATATTTTGATATCTTTCCGGTTGAAAGTCACTTATGTAAATGTAATATTATATGTAGGTGTTCATATACCATGCTAGTGAGCATCGTAAGATAGATAGCTAAATAGATGTTCAGTTAAATTTCTCCTGTTTAAACTGTGACTATTCTGTACATATGCTTCAATTCAAAATGCATACTGTGTGTATATTTCATATTGCCAATGTTGTAAGATGATATTGATCATATTTTTTGCCTTATGAAAATGTAGAAGATTTAAAATAAACTTAGTACATAATGTACCATAATCTGTACAGTATGTTACTTTTCACAGGGTGATTTTGCTGTAGAATGTTGTAATCAAATATAGTAATCAATGTCACTGCAGATAGCAGGGGTAACTCAACGCCATGGGTGGCACATGACTCCTCCATTTGGGAAGGCTGGGCGTGCCCGGACCATGGCCCCGCCCCGAGACTCGCTCCCACTCCGCCCCTTCTCCTGAAGCCCCCCACCCGCCCGCCGCTTGCACCTCTTTTCCCCCTCTCCCAGGCCTCTCCTCACCTGTCTGCCGTGCATGCCTCTTCACCCCTCCCCCACACACACCCCACCTGCCCACCCACCAGCCCATCAACTGGCTGCTCACCGCTCGTGCTTGCCTCTTCACCCCCTCCCCGGAAGCCCCCATGTGGGAAGAGGCAGAACAAGGGCAGGGCCTTGGAAGGAAGAGGACAAGCAGGAGAGGGGCCCCAGGGTGAAGCACAGGCTGGGTCA